ACTTAATGATGGGAAGAACTGAAGTCCGGGGGAGGGGCCTCCCAGGCTGAGCGGGCATGCCTGCTTCCTGCAGAGGGTTATTCTTTGACTAGCTGATTGCTGTTTGAACTGGGGGTGTGTACAGGCATAAAAGAAGCCGCCGTGTTCGGAGGCTGTCGTAAGGTCCTGTTGCCGACATCATTTCACACCCTCAAAGACTGAAGTTCACGCATCGCTTATCAGTGATATCAGATAACCTTTATCTCTGAAGGCCCCAACCCGCACCCTACCTGTGAGTTGTAGCATTGTGATGTATGACAACATCTCTTTAATGAAAGGTGAAAGGGAATGGATGGACCCTCCCCCTCCGTGTTTGAGTGACATGGTGTTGATGGTAGCCTTTGTGGGCATTTATTTGTATGAACTTGAAAGTGAAAACATTTTTCTGGAAATTCCTGTTTTTTTTTTTCTTTAACATATTGACCTCCTCCACAGGCACACATACCAAAAAGGACTTGAGGTTTAATCAGGTTGTAGCCTGTCTTGAGTCGTGTGACAATGGCAAATTTATAAGCCTGGGTGTCCTGTAAAAGTGAGGGCCAAACACCATACAGTCTCTGTTCTGCCTGTTCACATCACGTGTCCTGCCCTGGGGGATGTACGGAGACGCTTCCATGCAAAGTCTCTCGAGAGATATAACTTTCTCTAGAAAAACAGGACTAGCTTGCTTTAAGAGCATAGATCCGTCACTCACTTGTTGTTCGTTTTCGTTCGGGTGGACTTGCAGCAGCTGTCGGGTCCTGTGTTGAACCGTGTCCAGTGTTTTGAGTGTGGATTAAGGAGGAATTTTCTTGTTTTGCTTGTCATTTTCTAAGAAACGTCTGCTGCACTGACCCCAGGAGGTGCAGGTGGATGCTGAAGGCGGCCGTCCCCGGCATGTGTTCTGCACAATGGGTTCACCCATCCAGAGGGGGCCAGAGTAATTGCTCTGGGCAGGTTTACAGTAGGGAGGTGTGAACAGCTCATTTGTCTGTCTGAGAAGCGGGGGTAGGGGGCAGGCATAGTGGCAGATTGGGGTCACGCTGGGCATGGGGGATGGGGCATCCGAGAGGTCCCGTTTTCGGGGACCGCAAAGCTGAGGGCTGAGGGCTGAGGGCTGAGGGCTGAGGGCTGGACCTGGCGCAGTAAGCGGCACTCAGCCGGATCCGATCCCCGATGGGAAACACACGAGCCCTTTTCTCATTTGTGGCGCGTTTTGGTAATTTGTTACAGTCACCCCTCGGATTCTATGGCGTACGGTGGGATTAGTTTCGGTCCAAAACAGCTCGGCCTTCAGAAATGGAGTCTTTAAGGCTTTGTAGGCCATGAAAATAAAATAACACTGTAGTAGTGGAACAAACCTCAGGTAGCTTTTGACTTTCACTTTCACAGAGCCGCGCTTCAGAGGCAAATCTGCATGGCCTGGTGGCCGCAGACAGAAATTTGAAGCATGGAATAGGTGTCAATTATGAAGATGTGTGTAATTACAAGACTGAGAACCTGACTCTGCTTGTAGGGGCTGGATACTTTGCACTCCACTTAAAAATACAAATTTTAAACAATTTTGAAACCATATTTTTTTATGCTTTTTGCCTGCCTTTCCTCTATGTTCTGTCCCAGCTGGTTTCCAGGCTTGTGGTGCAATGAGAAAAGCTGCTATTTTAAGGATTTCTATTACCATTTCCTTGTTTCGGAGTAGAGGGCCGTGCACCGACCCTGCCTCCGCTCGCTCGACCCGGTCACAGCTGGGCATTTTCACTGGGTTGTTTTTAAAGTATTACGACACTCTCCTTCAGCACACATTCTGCCTGCCAGTCAGTGGCCAGAAATCCAATATTAATGTGAAACTGGGACTTCTGTTCAAATAGGAAGCCGAGAAGCTGAGGGGAGGCGGCAAAAATGCTTATTTTCCCAGTGAATCATAGGCTTTTACAAAGGGCTACAATTTTAATCGAAGTCTTTGTAGTGGTCTGGTGGTGTCGTGACCTGATTAGCAAACTGCTTGACCTCATGCTAAGGCAGTTAACTTGCTGATTACACGTTTGTGATTACACGTTTGTGATTACACGTTGTTATCTTGCATCATGCCTCCCCGATTCAGATAAGCAGGTAAAAGATGGATGCATATCTTGCATGTATTGTGTTTTAGATTAGGAAAATGTCTTTTCCTTCAACTGTAGCTCAGATGAGTAAATGAGTTAGACGACTGACTCTTTGTTGGGTCGGGTCAGGTCCTGGTAGTTTGTTTCTGCTCTTAGCATTGAGCTGATTTGAGAATTTGCACATGCCCCTCCAGGAATTCGGAAGGACCACTTTTGGACGATATTTCTATGCTGTTTGCTCACCTCTTGAAATATTTAACATGTTCAGGAATCTATTCTGTTAAAGCTGCATACTGAGAGATGATTGGAAGACCGCAGTTGAGGAGCTCCCATTGTTTATCATGCTGCATTTTTAAACACGGGTGTTTAGATTTTGTGAGACAATCCAGGGTTTGCTGGTTTGTGATTGTGGCTGCGGTGACAGGCAGCCTCTTCCTTCTACAGTCGCTCGGCTGTTACGCAAAGCAGCATTTTTGGACTAATTGCCGGCTGAGTGATCCGAGATGCCTTCCGTTTTTGTTTGCCTTGTGTGTTTTGTTGTGATCGGGCTGCCGGGACACTTGATTCTAATCCAGAGTTCACTGCCCCACGCCACTCTCCTTCCTTCCACCTCTCCCTCGCTCCCTCGGCGTTGCCAGAACCTGTGAGTTTCTGGGCATGACGTCCTTGGTTAAAGTCAGCGGCGGACTTCAGCGGCGGACTTCAGCGGCACACCAGAGGGAGGTGAGCTGCGTTAACAGCTTGCGTTCGCGACGTAGGTGTCAATTACAGCAAGGCTCCCGATAAGGCCTTGAAAGCCAAGCCGAAGGGAAGGGAAGTGAATAAAAAATGAAAAAGTTGTGTAAACATCGCTGGTGCTGGGCCGTCACCGCCGGGACGGGAGGGGCTTTCCTTCCTGCCCCAATAAAGGTGAGAGGTTTGTGTGTTCTGACAGCCCCTGGTTTGTGCTTCTGGCGCGGTGGCGGCATTGGCTGGCACACTGGGCACGGCCTGGGCCGCCATCCCTGCTGCACGTCTGCCAAGCGAGAGTGAGGCCTGCAGTGCCTCAGAGGTGCTCACCATCACTACAAATGTTTTTTTTTTTTGCTCTTTAAGCAGAATGTAGTGCAGATGTGTCCCTTGACAGTTAGGCTGTTTGGCTGGCAGACGGTAACTGCTGTAGGGGAGCTGGTGTGTCACCTACTCTCCGATGTCCCTGGCTGATCCTTGTCTCAATCATAGGAAGGAAACGTCTTCAGATTAGATTCTTATTTAAAAGAAAGTACATGGTAGGGGCTGGGCTCAGAGGATCAGTGCCAGAGGTGTGACCAAAAACACTCTCAGATGAGAGGCCACCCTGCACTTTGTGTTTACCTAGTAGCCCTGGATAGCGGATCCCGCGTCACTTGTGGGGTTGTCTAATTCTGCAGGTCTAGCAAAGCTAGCAGCCTCATATGCAAGTTTCACATTTCATATGCAAGTTTGAGCGACACAGGTACTGGTCTCTGGGGGCCCTTGGTGGCTCCCATTGGTTACAGAAATCACAGCAGAGCACAGTGTGGTTATTTTATTTTCCGTTGTGGTCTCTGTGAAACCTCCCCCCCCTCCCCAACCTCTGGGCCACTTCCATCTATGCAGTTAGGTAGTAATGGTTGAAAAGGATAGAAGATGTAAGGGGGAGTTTAGAGATCAGGTGTGCCCACAGTAGATCGGTGACGCTCAGCTGGATGTGAGGATGCCGTCTCAAGCCACTTGATGTCCCCAAAGCACAGCCCTGAATGCACCCGTGTGTTCAGGTTTTGGCTCGTTTTCAGGTGAAGTCTCTGGAATCAAAGGTGCCACATCTAGAATGAAACTGCAGGTCATTCTGTGGTCCGTCTTTAAGAGGAACTGTCCCTCTTCAGGTTATGTGATGGGCTTTCTCCGTAGCAGGCTCCCAAGGGACGCCTGGTGAACAGGTGTATGAACCAGCCAGTGCTCACTAGGGGGAAGAAGGCAGGACCACACTGCCGTTGCCCATAAAAGGGTGAATATGACCTGAGATAGCAGATAAACATGGGTATCTGCTATCTAGCTGGGTGGCAGCAGTGATGTGTTTTCTTTGTTCTTGGCTAAGCTGGTGTTTTGGTTAAAATGATTGTTGTACCTCATTCTGAGTGGCAGAAGCTGTGAGTTCAGGTTGTTGCCGGGTGATGAAATGGACCGGCTCCTGTCTTGCATCATTCTGGCTAAAAGGAGCATGATACAATGTGTCAAATAATTCATGTCATGGAAAATTGCCCATTTTCATACTGCCCTGGGTCCAATCTGGACGTGCAATGCAAATTTCATTACGAGAGTGCTGAGCGTGAAATTGGGGAACTCTTGTAAGATGAGGCCCCTCTGTATTCACCTGAAGCAAGCTGATGGTTCCTCTATCATAGCCCCTGACTTGCGGCTCCATATCATAGGCCCTGCAGCCCAGCCCAGGCCTCCTTTCCCACAGTAACACAATCTCCAGACAAATTGCACTTTTAATTCCAGTTACAGTATGGATGCAGACTTGGCTGTTAAATGCACCACTGGGCTGAATTGCTGATGGCTTTTCATAAAGACAAACGGCTCTCGGCTCCGTTGGAAATGGATACGTGCTGCTGCAGTGCTGCTATTGATCGAAGCCCCCCCCTCCCCCCCCCACACCAGGCCAGATGGGGATATTGGGCGGTTGTGGTCCCATGTGTGAGCGGGCCTGCCTACTTCACTGTGAGCATTTGTGCTGAAGTGTACAGCCCCCCTCGCACCAGAGACGGGGGTGGGGGTTAGCTTGCCTAAGATGGGGGCAACGGAACCCTAGGCTGGCAGATTCATGGAGGAAAAGGAAAGCCGTCAGCTCTCTAATTATTCCCTCTCCCCATCCAACAGAAACCTGAGCCGCAACAAGCTGAGGACAATCGATGCGGAAGCCCTCTCCCAGCTCTCTGGCCTGCGCGAGCTGTAAGTATCCAGAACATCTCTCCCTCCCTCTCTACCCCCGGCCGGTGCTTTGGTTGCCCCGCCTACCTGCCCATCTTCATTACCGAATCGATCAACAATGGGCAACTAATCCATTGACGCTCCTCTTCATGGAGTTCCTTATTGGTTTTTTAAAGTGATCCTAAATGACTGGTGTATGGGGGCAAACATCTGCTCAAATGGTACCCCCCCAGAGGAGCGTTCTGCCCTTTTTAAAAAGAGCAGTGACCAGTAGGGTCCAGGCTAAGTCCTCGTAACAGCTTTCCTTGCAGGATGGATGGCTTTTGGAGGCGTATTTGCACTCATACTGGCGCCTGTTTGAATTTGCCCCCTCGCTCTCCGTCTCTCCTGCTTAATTATATTGTTTCTTAAAAGGGGCGGGCAAGTGGATCACCGTTCGTTCATGCATTTGTCACTTTGAAATGAAACCAATTGGGAGGTAAAGAAGCACTTTTCTATTTTAAGCTCCCCTCATCGCCATTTGACACCAGTCAGAAACCAGTCTTGTAAATATTTTATACCGAGATCGGGTCCATCTGGGGCTGGGAGCGCCGGCTCTCGCGCCGAACCCAGCGCGCTTCTCATGCCTCCTCTGCCGTGTCCTGCCTCCTCTTGCATGTCTGTTCTTTTTGCTGTCAAGCTGTGGCTCTGTCACCTTGGCCTTCATTTTCCCTCATTGTCTTCCACAGGCACTTGGACCACAATGAAATTTCTTCGATCCCATCGCTAGGAGCTGTGTCCAAAAACATTGTGTCCCTTTATCTGTAAGTACAGCTGAGCCTAGGTCAGCATTGGTGCTGATGGATCGCTGTGCGTGTGGCTTTTTCTTTGGGGAATATCAACCGTGACACCCCCCCCCACTTGATACATGTAACCACAGCAAGTGTTGCACCTTTATCCTGATGTTTTGTGAATTCTCTTATTGGTTATTTCTTGAGTTGCTCAGGTATACAAATACTGGTGAGAGGGCTGGTTTTAGTAAATGTAAATGCTGCTGTGGTGTGAACAGGGCTTGGGAGTCCATATGGTACAGCCAAGCTTGGAGAACTCTGACCACTTGTAAAGGAGACTTGTGCATTAGTAGAATTAGGTTGTGCATGAAGATGGGCCCATATCCAAAAGGTATCACAGTTCACAATTACATGCGCCGGGAATAACCGGAAAGGATTACCCTGGTAGGGAAACTGTGCCAGGGTGGGGTGTGTGTGTGTGAAGATGGCTGGCCACAATCACTGGTCGGGGAGGTCTTAGCTGCCTCTGTCACATCTCCGTGGAAGGGCATGCTTCATCTTTGGGGGCTAGGAGGGTGTTGTGGTCAGTTAGGAGGGTGTTGTGGTCAGTTAGCTCCTCTCCCTGTAATTCCAGGTGCCATTTTAAAATTCCACTCTGCTGCTTCCGTTGTTTTATTATATACCTACAGTTGGTTGGTTGGCCAGGAACCTGTTGGGACACCTGTGGTTTCATGTCTTCTGAAGACCTGACTCACCCACAGCCTTGCTAAGTGTTTCCCAGCCCCTCCAGCGGGAGTGCACATACCTCATCTATGCCTCAGTCTTTCCCAGCCAGAGGCTTCCAGGGGAATTCTGGCATCTCAGTCAAGCGGAGCTGAGCCCCAGGGTAGGGTCCTGTCACGGTGACAGCCTGTGGGCCTGTCAGGACAGTCATGGTCTGTGCAGGCTGAGGTGACTGGTCAGCTTTGCAAGGTGAGCTGTGCGTAACAGATCACATGTCAGGGGTTGGAGCAGGGGTTTGACATGTATAGCAATGGTGAATCTAAAAGACTGACAGACTGTGTGTGCCATAAATAAGGTAAAAATGAAGTGTGTGTGTATACCGTGAATGTGAAGGATGGTTTATGCTGTATATGCGTATACCGTAAATAAGGTGAATATGAATGATGGTATAGACTGTGTGTGTGTATACCGTAAACAAGGTGAATGTGAAGGATGGTATAGGCTGTGTTGTGTGTATACCGTAAACAAGGTGAATGTGAAGGATGGTATAGGCTGTGTGTGTGTGTGTGTGTATACCGTAAATAAGGTGAATATGAAGGACAGTATAGCCTGAGTATATACCGTAAATAAGGTGAGTTTGAAGGTCTGTATAAGCTGTGCGTATATATCGTCAATAAGGCAAAGTTGAATATGAAGGACAATTTAAGACAGTATAGACTGAATATACTAAATAACAGATAGTATGCATACTAATTTGCAGTATTGTATATTCCTGTATGTGTACTTGCTACATCGGTGCTATGCACAGAGAGACGGCATTGCCTTTAAACGTGGGCTGACGCGTGAGAAAGCCGGTATAAATAAACTGGCCTAAATATCACTTCCCGACATTGGTCCCGGTGTATTGACACGCGCTGCTTTTTTAGGACTGGTTGGATGCCTGTTGCCACGGAGTGCGGAGGTCCCGCCTCGAGGCAGGAAGGTGCGGCTTCCCTGAAAAGACCACAGCTGGCCCTGTCAGTCAGGAGGGGGGGGGGAGGGTTTGCTGGGTCAGGGTGACATCAGAAGCAGACACGGGGCCTACTGGTGGAATCTGTCCTGCTGGTGTTGCCTCACTGGCTGGTATGCAGTGGGATGGCAGCTGGACAGTGGCCCTGCCTCGGTCTGGCCTGGCCTGACCTCACCTGCCTGGTCCCACTGGCAGCAGAAGCTCTCCGACTGAACCATTAGCATTGTGCACGATGCAGTGGCAGCTGGTCAGGTGGGCCCACCACGGCCCGCCTGTGAAACAGCCCACATTTGTGCCAGCTTGTTACTCGGGGACACTCCTGTGGAAGTAACATGAGCAGGAGTGGCCCCCCATTCCCCAGTCCGACTGCGGGTCTTCTGATGTGGTGGTTGTGTGGTTTATCTGGCAGATGATCACACTGTCAATCAACTTGTCTGTTCATCTGGTCGCTGCATGGGAGGTGGGGGTTCAGGAGATTAATAAATTCCAGTGTGGGGAAGATGTTCTGTTTACCACACAGGTTTCCTCTGCATTTTGTCACCTGCAGCTTTCTTGCATTTTCAGCCATTAACATAGTCGTGGAAGGTTTGGCTAAAGCAGATTCACGTCCCCTTAATGGGTTGTGCTGTGTGGTTTAAGCGAGATGCTTAACCCAAGTTAAGTGCAGTAGCGGGTGAAGTTGAACTGGTTAAAGGCATCTGCTTTGGATACGTGTATCAGACGAGTTCGGGCAGTTGTGAGCAGACCCTGTTGGCCACACTGACAGTATGAAGTACTGTGACATGGTACAGTTTCCCAGGCTGGGCCGCAGCTGTTGTCCCCCGGCCCGACCCTGCAGTTCAGTGTGACGTCAGGACCCTGACTGTGTGCGGGAACAAACATTCTGTCGGGCTCAAGTTCCCGCAACCCCTGACGTCTGCGGTCAGGTTCCCCTTTTAAAATAAATCCACAAATAAAATAAAGCTGTTGACTCAGGTGGGCCTGGGCTGAGACCCCAGAATGCGCAACCAGAAATGGTGAGACAGATTAGCTGGTGATTCATTAGTGAAATATGGAGAGTCATGGGAGGCGGAGTCAGATGGCAGTGTGTGCCAGGCGAATGCTAATCAATACCTTATCATCCCCGCAACGTGATGAATACCCTTTTTTTTTACCTTATGGGAACCAGTATAAGGGAAAACTTTTCTAAAAAATCTGTGACTGCAATCAAAAAACTAAAAATACAACTTTTGTATTTTGTTTGGTTACTTATAGCTAGGGCTGGGTAGGGGTTAAGGTTGTCAGTTAGCATTAGCATTTTTTCCCATAGAAATGAATGAGCGGTCCCCACAAAGATATGATTACAGGTCTGTGTGTGTGCTTGCGTATGTGCGTGCATTCAGCTATATATTGTAGAAGCATTTATTTGGGCCTGGCCTGGCAGAGAAGCGACCCAGGAGTTACAGGTCGTTTGCATGGGGGGGTGAACGCTGGGTCATGTTGCTCTGAAGGGGCACTGGCTTTTCATCTTGGGCCATGTGACATCGACCTTCGGGACCTTTCGTGATGGAGCTACTCACGCCAGCGTGTGCCTTGCACAGAGGGGAATTCCACGGAGGGGAAGAGATCAGCTCCTTCCCATCGCGTCCTCAGTGGTGCATCATCAGTAACACCAAAATAACCGGCAGATGTGGGGATCACGGCCCTGTGTGAGCAGGAAGCGTAAATACAGGCGCGATATTTTTTACTTTCCTCGCTTCCCATGGTCATGAGGACAGTTTGGCCTGGAATTGGAATTGAGATCCAGGTTCTTGAACAAAGCCATCGACACGACTCTGGAAAATGGGATGTGTCTGGAAAACTGGACTCGATCTGGAGGTCTCCCATCCAGTCCTGGGGACCCCATCTGTTGTTCTGACTCTGGCATGGTTTCCGCCATTCCCTGTCCCTGGAGCAGTTGATGCGGGATAACTGACTTGATGGAAAACAGCAGCAAAGACATTCTTTACACCGTGTGCCAGAAGGGCAGTGGCAGGAGATTGAGAGCCATGTTTGACAGTATGAAGTAGGTTGGCGTCCACGTTGACCTGGCATGCTTTTGCTGATGCTAGCCTGACTGATATGCACCTGAACAGAATAGATTCGTAATGGAAGTATATGCTAATTCTGCAAGCATTTGAGGCTAACATAAGATGGGTATTCTCACAGACTTGTTAGCAGATATTAGCACACAGTAAATCATGATGTACACCATCTGAACAGTAAATAAGTTTCTCTTCTTCTGTTTTTTCATCACTGTTGCTCTCCAAACCCGGCCACTCCTTTACCGAGCTGATTCTTCTGCCGCACTGCATAAAACGTGCAGATAATTTACCAGTGATAAGTCACAGCCCAGCTGCCCATACACAGTCGTGCAGTGCAGTGTGTGTCTCTGACTCGAGGCCAAGCCTGAGGCAGGCAGACCAATGGTCTCGAGTTATTGACTGTTTCTCTTCTCCACCACTCTCGATGTACGATAATACTGATCTTGGTGGTTTTATCCGTTCGTACTTCAGACCAGGAATCGTAATTTGGCCGTACCCAGGACTGCGGGTTCTACGTTCCAATAATCGGCGAAGGTCCGCGACAGACCACCTGTCTGCCTTTATTCAGTACCGGCTCTTGTTCACCTTCTCCAAGGAATCACAACAAAATCCAGAGCATCGACGGCCCCAGCCTGCAGAACCTCAGTGCCTTGGAGACACTGGACCTGAGCAACAACAAGGTTTCCGAGGTCCGCGCTCACTGCTTCCCAGCCGGCCTGCGGATCAGAGACCTGTAAGTGGCCCCTCCTGGATTCTCTGGCCTCCCATGGGGTCACCAAAGCCTTCCGCTTGCTTTCAGTAGCTGCCATGAATATTTGAACCCCACAAACATGGCTGTACCTATATCTTTAGATTTCAATGATGATGACGGTTGACACTCTAAGCTTTCTACCTCTTTAATACATTCAGGATCCCCCCCCCCCAGACTGACACTCTCTTCTACGCAGGTCCCTGGGCAGCAACAGGATCAGCTATGTGGAACCTGGTGCTTTCAGCCGCCTGTCGGGCAGTTTGCAGGTGCTGCGACTGAACAGGAACAGGATCACACAGCTTCCTGTCAAGGCCTTCCAGTTGCCCCAGCTGACGCAACTGTAAGTGTCACATCCCCCCCGAGTGCCTGCAGTCACACGGGGCTCCCAGAGCCAACAGGGGCCTCACCTTTGTAAACATCGGGGTTAGGGGACGTTTCCCAGGAGGTTGTTCTCTGAGCCCCCCCTCCCCCACACCCCCAAGTTCCCCTGGCACGTGTGGCCCTCAGCCTGTGCAGAAACGTACATGGTTCCTGTCAGCCATCCTGTGTGCGAATGGTCTGAACCGCTCAGCCCTGATGTCTATTTATAACTGTACCGTAAGGTCGTCCTTAACCAGCGGGTATTAAGAACTGGTTATACGTACCCTGGCCATTCAGTCCCCTGGCGTGACGCGTCGTCCCGTCAGGCGAAACACTAGCTACTGTTTCCCAGCCTGACAGGCCACCGAGAGAAGGGGGGTGCGTGTGACGGCATGTGTGATGGGTGGGTTGAGGGGGGCGCCTGCTGCTCTGTGTGTCTGTCTTGCTTAACACGTCTCTCTGGTGCAGGGACCTGAACCGGAACCGGCTGCGCCTGATCGAGGGCCTCACCTTCCAGGGGCTGGATGGCCTGGAGGTCCTCAGGTTGCAGAGGAACGTCATCGGCAAGCTGACGGACGGCGCCTTCTGGGGCTTGGCCCGAATCAGAGTGCTGTGAGTGATTGCCCGATTGCCCCATTGCCCGATTGCCCCATTCCACTGCTGCCTGAATCAGTGGCACTCCTGGGGCCTGTACTTCGAAGCGGGGTCACTGGCTTATCGGGGTAACTTGCTGGATAGGTAGTCTGGGCAAAATATCAGTCAACAAATATGAAGTCCATTTAAACTGTGGTACCTTAAATCCGACAAGTTACCCCGATAAGCCAGTAACCCCACTTCATAGTACAGGCCACTGGGCTGTGACCGGACTCTGATGGTGTACAGCATGCCGATTCCAGGTCCTAACTGTGAGAGCATGTGACCCCCAGTGACCTGCAAAACAACAGCCTGACGGAGGTGAACAGCGGCTCTCTGTACGGACTCTCTGCCCTCCTCCATCTCTTCCTCGACCACAACTCCATCTCGCAGATCAACCCTGATGGCTGGAAGTTCTGCCCTGGCCTCCGTGAGCTGTAAGTCAGGTCTTTCATTAACCCCCCCCCCCCCCCCCCCCCACCCCCCCAACCCCCCCCAGCAGCACGGAACTGTGATTGGTTGTGTTGTGACTAGATGCTGGAGCCCAAACAGCCAGACAGTGGTTTTCGGCTGTCAGCGGTGGGGGCTCCCACATCTGCTGCTGGGCGGGGGTGCACTCCTCTTAAACGGGCGGGAGGCGGGACAGTCAGGAGTGTGCAGTGCCCTGGGGGCAGTGCCGGGGCCGCTTCTCTGCTCAGCGCACGCGGTGTGGGGGTGGGGGGGCACCTGTGACATGCTGCCCGAGGAAGCTCTGCTAGCCCCTCCCCCCACACAGACAGGACCCCTCCCTCAGCGAAGCCCCCATTATTACATTCTCGGTAAGATGATCTGGTAGCTGATTGGCAGAAGCGTGTTGCCCTTGGCTGCCCAAGCGCACTGAGCCGGGGGGGCCATCGCTGGGAAAGGGGGGGCATGGCCAAGGGCCATCTCTGGAGGGGGGGGGGGCATGGCCAGGGGCCACCCTTTGAATAGCCCCCCAGAATATGACCCTGAGCTTTATTAGGCTGAGCTTCAGGGGTGACTTACGGCGCACGCAGGCCGGGCCAGTGGCATGGGCTGAGGGAGCCGGACTGCCCCAAAGTGCCCCCCTGGGTCCTAATGCCTGCCTCTCCGTCTCGCAGGAGTCTGTCCCACAACAACCTGACACGGCTGGACGAGGGCAGCCTGGCCGTGCTGGGAGAGCTGCAAACCCTGCGACTGGGGCACAACTCCATCAGCCACATCGCTGAGGGCTCCTTTCGTGGGCTCCGGGCCCTGCGACTGCTGTGAGTCCCCAGCTCGCTCACCCGCCCACACCAGCAAAGATCAGTGCGGGAACTGGGAAGATGTCCTGGAAAGAGTGTCATTATCACCCACTTTTTTGTGTAGTTGTGTAGTCACTGGTTCCCACTGTACTTGAACGCATATGTGTTTCCTGTCCTGTAGAGTGAAAGGACTAAATGGACCTCTCCCGAGCTCCCAGACCACCCCCCCCCTCTCCCGAGCTCCCAGACCACCCCCCCC